AACTTACGCTGACTTGTTCTCTTTAATAGTGAAGACAGGATTCAGAAACACTGGGGGAGGAGGAGGAAGAGTAGGGTGTGGCAGCCCTCCCAAACCATCTCAATGCTACCCATCCGTATTGCCTCAAACACTGAGTCTTGGACGTTTTTACTCACCGTAATAGCCCTGTATTACATTTACTGCATCCTAGCCGATAATATTACACAGTAAGTCAAGGAGAGCTCCCAAACTCTGAGAACCACGCTGTTCAATCCACAGCAGTGCGGGCTGGCCGAGGCAACCGTCCAGCAGCTGGGTTGTTTCAGAGCCTCCTTGCTTCCTTGCTGCATCCTCTTCTCTTCTGGAAACCTCATTCTCTCTCCAGGCCAGCCCAACCCCCCGGGCCTGGCCCACCCACTGCACTGCCAGAACCTCTCACCTCAGATCCTTCCTTTTCTCCCAGCACACCCTAGATCAAAACCAACACAGACGTCTAAATAACCTCTGAGAAAACACTCTTTTATGCATCTCAGGGCTCCATGTTAGGCTTTTAAAATATATATATTATTGATTTCTAAGAGGAAGGGAGAGGGAGAGAGAGAATCATTGATGGGCTGCCTCCTGCACGCCCCCACTGAGGACTGAACGAGCAACCTGAGCATGTGCCCTGACCTGGAATCGAACCGTGACCTCCTGGTTCATAGGTCCATGTTCAACCACTGAGCCATGTGAGTCGGGCCATGTTAGCCTTTATAACGGGGTGGGGAACATCTGGCCAGTGAGAATCATTTGGTCTGCCCTGCCAAGACATTAGGGGTGAGTTAATTAAACGTTTTACCAAATACTAGTAGAGCAGGCTAATCTTTAAGTTGATAATTTTGTATGGCCTGTGAATGATGTTATAAATATCCAAATAAGGCTTGGCAGGAAAAGGTTCCCCACCCCTGCTTTAGAAGAACCCAGAGAGGTGGGCACGTCCATCCAGTCACAGCTCTCAGGGACACCACTGAAAAGACCTGCCATATGCACTGCTCCCAGTCAACCTACCTGCTTCATCAAGACATCTTCCCTGATTTTCTTCATAAAAGTGATCTCTGCAGCCCTAACCAGTTTAGCTCAGTGGATACAGCATCGGCCTGCAGACTCAAGGGTCTCAGGTTCGATTCCGGTCAAGGGCATGTACCTGGGTTGCGGGCACATCCCCAGTAGTGGGTGTGCAGGAGGCAGCTGATCGATGTTTCTCTCTCATCGACGTTTCTAACTCTCTATCCCTCTCCCTTCCTCTCTGTAAAAAATCAATAAAATATATATTTTTTAAAAAGTGATCTCTGCAACCTCTGTCCCAAAACAAGAGAAAGTGTCCTCTGCACAGTGGCTAGTGCGTCTTTTTCTAGGTCTTCCTAGCGAGGCTCCTGTGCCTCATCTGGAGCTCTAGCTCCTTGAATTAAAACCTCCATGAAGCAGCAATGAGTGTGCTTCTGACAACAGAGGCAGAGGTGAACCAGTGACCTGACCCTTTCAAATGACCTTAACAAGCAAAAGCAGACAGACAAAAAGGAAAGCGGTGATTCTGAAAGCATAAATGCCAAGTACCTCTTTCCGAACTGTTTTTTTTTTTTTTTTTTACAAAAGAAGCAGAACAGCAGCCCAGCCTCCACTTTCTTGGTTGTTAATACTGACATGGTATTTATACACATCCATGCACATAACACACAATAATGGCAATATTTCAAACTGTCTAATACTTGAAGACTTTAGGTAGAATATTTTGCAAATACCTAGATTTTATGCATTTTTAAATATATTTTTATTGATTTCAGAGAGGCAGGGAGGGGGGAGAAAGATAGAAACATCAATGATGAGAATCATTGATTGGCTGCCTCCTGTACTGCCCCTCCATCCCTACTGGGGATCAAGCCCCCAAACCAGGCATGTGCCCTGACCGGGAATGGAACTGTGACCTCTTGGTTCCTAGGTTGACACTCAACCACTGAACCATATGAGTCTAGATTTTATGCATTTTTAAGTGAATGTTTCTTTCAGGTTTGAGATAGTATTTTTCAATCTATTCTTCTACCTCAGAATTCCACTATCATCTTCACTCCTCCCAAGTATCATGCCAAAAAGCCACAAGTATTACTGCTTATAACTGAGTTAAAAATAAAGCACTTAGAACAATGACTAGCACATAGTAATTACTCTAAAATGTTAGTTATTATGATAACCACAAACCCAGCACCAAGCCACAGAGGCCTTTCCTCAACAGCGGACAGGATTCCAGACTAACCCACTAGCCTGTCCCCACAGGCACTGACCTTCCTCCCTCGGCCCGGTGCTGGCTGCACGGCTGCTCTGCTCTGGACTACATTTAGACAGTAAGTTTTCAAGTCAGTGATTCCAAATGACTTCTGAGCTGAGAAACAGAGTAGAACAGATGTCTTCACTGGGTGAGGAAGGGCGGGGACTCTCAGGTGGTCATGAGCATTTGTAGGTCGTTCAGAAGACTGGTACTGCCTGGGCTAACCTGTTACTGCCTGACACTTTTTCTTTGAAACTACTATAGTGACTTTTAAAAGATGGACATCTCTAAAGTAAGATTATTTACTTATTTATTTAGCGTTTTGTTTGTTTTTACGTATTTTTTAAATTGATTTCAGAGAAGAAGGGAGAGGGATAGAGAGAGAAACATCAATGATAAGAGAGAATGATTGGTAGGCTCCCTCCTGCACACCCCACACTGGGGATTGAGCCCACAACCCAGGCATGTGCCCTGACTGGTAATCAAACCTGTGACCTCCTGGTTCATAGGTCAATGCTCAACCACTTAGCCATGCCAGCTGGGTTCAAAAGTAATATTTTAAAGTCCTTCCTTTAGAATAAATCAGGGCTTACTTAACTAGCCTACACACCACTCGCCTGGAAACCAGGTTTGGCATATGTACAACTTGGGGGGACATACCGTGTGCATGGGGTCCTTCTTCTCCTCCCTCCCCTGCCTCCCAGACAAAGTCAGCCCCTACGGCTTTAATGCCCACAAAGGAATAAGAGGTGTGATCTGTCAGGATAAAGAGCTTCCGTGGGAAACTAGTGTCAAGACACATTAGTCTTCAGTTTACCATGGGAAGGGCTGGTGTGAATGAAAGGGATAGCCCCCCTCCCTCACCATGCTCCCTCCAAAAAAATATTTCACGATGGGCACTGGTTTGTGGTTTAGGTTTCAAAAAAATCAACATCTGGCCCAGCTGGCGTGGCTCAGTGGTTAAGTGTCGGCCCATGAACCAGGAGGTTACGGTTTGATTCCTGGTCAGCGCAAATGCCCAGGTTGCGAGCTCAATCCCCAGTGTGGGGCGTGCAGGAGGCAGCCTATCAATGATTCCCTGTCATCATTGATGTTTCTATCTCTTCCTCTCCTTTCCTCTCTAAAAGCAATAAAAATATATTTTTAAAAAGAATTTTCAGAAGGTAGCAGCAGGGAAAGTGCCACATGAGACCGGGGTTCTAGTACTGGCCCTGCATGAACAGACGTGTCACTCTGAACAAACCACCTCACTTCTATGGCCTCAAATGTCTGTACCAGTCAACATGAGCAGGCCAACCAGATTGTGCAATCCCAGGTCTAAAAGTACGACAGCTGGAGTTAATGTAACTCATTGATAAGGTGAAAAGATGATTTTAAAATATAAATTTATCACAAAGGAAAGACATAAAGGCATTTCCTAACCCAACATCCAGGCTGTAAAAGGAATTCCAGGAAATAAATGGGTTTTACAAAGACTCTGACTTACTTGCTAGACCTGGGAACGACCATCTCAGCTAGTGTTTCATACTGCTTCATCCAGTCGTTGTGGTTTAACCTGCAGGAAAGGTGCAGTAAGTACTGGGGGAAAACAAGTCCTACCTCCTGCCATACCCAGGTGGAGAAAAAGGATGGGACAAACAGGAAATGTGGCTATAGTAAGTATATGTCAAACCTATTTAACAAAATATTCAAGTATCCTACTGAGAATGAATTTCAAACACACTTGTTGAGTGAAACGGGAACTACATTACATCCAGGAACTACTGCAAAGCAGACACAGCCCAGAACGAAGTTTAGAAAGGAAGTAAAGCCAAGTATAGATTCGCAACTACTTTCAAACTTTAGGGTTGAAGTATATTACCTCAGTTTTTAAAAAGAAAGAAAAAGGCCATGCATGACAAACCATGACCATTTCTTTTCAGAGCCATTAAGAAAGGCTGGAAGGAACTATATTTACTGAAAGCATCAAGTACCAGGAAGTGTTCAGTAAATAAAGGGACAGCAAACTATGCTGCCACAGCAAATTGTGCAACGCCCTTCTCTAAAGAACACTGGCTTTTGGGGGTGTGGAAAGTGACAATTATGTCTGTAATTTAAAATAAAGAACTTTAGTATTTGTAGACCAGGACAGAAAATAATTCATTGTTTAAGGTGCTTAGGTTCTATGTTTCAATTACTGTATGCAGAAAACTGTGAAAACTTCTGGTTTTAAACACAAATTTTAAATAAAAGTTAAATGAGACCAATCTTTTATCTGGGCAAAGGTATTTTCCTCTATATTATAAAAACACAAATATACAGAAATTGATGATAAAAAAATCAGTGTTCCAGTACAGCAGGGCTGAGTTACATAATTCACACATGAAATACAACTTCTGGAGCCCTTAGTTTCTGTGTTGTGTGTTTTTTTAAACTAGGTAATTAGTCTTCCTTTTCTTTTATTTGAATTTTGTTGTTGTGGTTAATCCTCACTCGAGGATATTTTTTCCATTGCTATTCCGAGGGAGGGGAAAGGAATGAGGGAAGGGGAGAGAGACACACACACACCAATTGGTTGCCTCCCACATGAGCTCTGGAGCCTGCAACTCTTGACCAGGGAATCGAACCTGGCACCCTTCAGTGCGAGTCCCTTTACACTTGGATTTTATGGAAAACTTCAAATTAAAATGTCAGATACAAACATTTTTCTTGTATTTTAACAGGTAAAAAAATCTTTTTAATAAAAAAACATACTTGGGAACTACAACCAGTAACGTGACGAGATACTCTGAATCAAGAACAAAGTCATCCTTCTTCACAATTTCTGAGAGACTTCTAGTTAGCAAACTTCCTCTGAGGCAGAAGGA